GGCGAGGAGGGGAAAAAACGCCCAGCTGCGGCGGGCATGCGGGCGGCGCCGGCGGCAGCCAGCGGTCTGTGATCGAGGCGGCAGCAGCCAGCGGGCGCGGCGCACCTGGATCATGGAGGCCTGTGCGGCGATGGAGACGGAGACGCCGATGGAGGAGAGGGAGGAGAGGGAGGAGGAGGTCATCTGGTTGGTGACCGAGGCGATGCCGCCGTACCACACGGTGCGGATGTAGTGGGAGCCATAGTTGTTGACCAGGGAGCGCAGCACAAACTGCGGCAGGGGGCGCGGGAGGCGCGGGAGGCAGCGGCGTCGGCGTCGGCGTCGGCCGACGCGGCCGAGCAGCGGGGCGGGGCGGCCGGGGAGGCCTGCCGGCGCGCGCGGCCGGCCACGCCTGTCGCTCGCATGGGGCATGCCGGCTGGCTGCTCTGCCCAGGCGGCCCAGCCCAGCCTGCCAAGCCTAGCCCAGCCAACCCAGTGATGATACAGTGCTGCTGCGCGCGCTGTGCCCGCCGTGCCACCTCACCGCATCATACGTCGATGTCACGGCGGCCTCCATCAGCGGCGCCACGTTCAGCACAAAGCCAGGCTCCAGCGCCAGGGCGGCGGGGCCTGCGCCGCAGCGGCGCAGCAGGGCGCGGCGCGTCGGGGCGGGCGGGCGGGCTGGCGGGCTCAGGCCCCGGGGCGGCGGGGCGTACTGATTCTTTTTAGTGGCGGTGCCGCGCGGCGGCGCGCTGGCTGGCGCGCTGGCTGGCGCACCTCCGCGCAGCGCGTAGCCTCCCAAGTGCACCGAGGCGCCCGAGTTGGTGGTAACGGTCTGGGAGGTGGTGGAAGTTTCAGACACCATGTTGAAAGAGCTGCAGGGGAGGCAGGGAGGCAGGGGAGCGGGAGCAGGAGCGGGAGCAGGCGCGCACCGCTCAGCAACGCAGCCGCAAAACGCGGCGGCGAAAGCGCGTGGGGAGGCGGCACGGCGGCGGGGCAGGACGCTGCGCGGCGGGCGCGCCCGCAGCACATGCCAGGAGGCGGGGGCGCAGCAGC